ACCTAAAATTATATGTATAGCTAGTTGTACTCTCATAATATGTATTATGTTTTTAATATAAAAACTAATAAAAGTTTAGCTGATAGTATTTATATAAAATAAAAAAAAATAATAACTATTTACTTGACAATTATATTTTTGTATCTCTAATAATTACCTCTTCCTCTTCTCAATACTGCTTACTACTTTTTTAATATTACTGTTTTACTAATTTTCTCACTACAATAATTTTAATATTATTTTTTCTTAACTACTGTATTAATTATTTTTCAGTATAATAAAAAAAATAAATAAATTATTAAAAAAAAAACTATTAATTAAATAAAAAGCAAAATAAAAATAATAATTTAAATAAATTATTTTAAAAAAAAAGTATTATTAAAAAAATAATAAAAGATCTATACACACTCTCTCCTGACCACATAAAGTTAAGCCTAAGAGTAAAAACTTTTTACAAAATATTTAATACTAAAGAAACTAAAACTACTTTTTTTAACAGAACTCAGGCTTTAGTCCTAGTTCCAAAGAAATGTAAACTTTGGTGCCTAGAAAATATAAGAAACAAAAAAATTATGCTTCATGATAGCTCGCAAATGAGTAATAGCAACAAAGAAAATCTACACTCTACTATAAGTGTTAGCAAAAAAGATATGAGTATTAACTACTCTAAATAAAAAAAACTACTAACTAACTCCTCTAACTGGGATAAACAACTAAGTCAAGAACTTGAAAAAGAAAAAACTAATATACCTCAAGAAACAGAGAAAAACAAGAATAACGAAAACAAAACAACAGATGAAGGAACATATGATATTATGCAAAATAATACTGATGTGACTAAAACAACAGACACACGTATCAAATCAACAAACGAATCTCTTTTAGAAATATCTACAAGTACCCCGAATCTACAAGGGACCTCCAAAAAATCCTGGTCTAGCCTGTTTGCTAAGGTTAAAAGAGGCCAATTTACTTTTACTTCTTATTCTCCGAGAAGTACCATCAGATCCAAAAATGATAATGCCTTAGTACTAGATATTAACAGCCTAAAAAACTACTCTTTAAATGATATTAGATATCTCTTTATGATAATGTAGGGAGTGATATAGTAGCAGCAAAACCACATATTAACAGAGGAGTTCGCACTCACTTAGAAATTATCTTTGCGAACAAAGAAAAATTATAAGAGTATATAGTTAAAGGAGTAGATATCTTTAACAAAACATATCTTGGCTCTATTCCTACAGATAACAGAAGGTCTTTCCTTCCAGTCAAAATTAGGAATATTCCTTTATAAGAAAAAAACTTAGTCTCTGAAGCTATCAAAGAAGCCTTCGAAGATGTGAAAGAAAATTGCTTCGATCAAATCACTCTTAATAGAAGGAACTCCTTATATAACTGACCAATGAGTTATTATTTTCGACACTACAAATGACCCAGACCTAGAAAAAAGAATTCCTCATTCTTACATTTTGTTAGAAAACAAAATTACTACAGAATAGAAATCAGTTCCAAAGGTCTGCTTTTTCTGTGACAGAGAAGGTCATATTAAAAGAGATTGCGAACAACATCAAGAAGCTTTAGTACTCCATCATCATTTTAAGAAGTACCAAAAAAATAAGAACAAAGAAAAAACCTCAGAACTTATCTCTAACCCATTAGTTGAAGAAACTACATCAGCTTCTTCATCTTCAACTCAAGGAATATGTATAGATAAACATTCTAAAAACTCTACTACAGAAGAGCAACAAGACACTTCCAGGACTAATAAAAATAATAACACTCATAGCAGTGTATTAAAAAGAACAGAGGATACAATTCTAAATACTGAAAATTCAAATATGAGAGAAAATTCAGAAACTCAAAATGCAGACTTAACAAGCAATTCTACTGCCAACAAAGAAACAATACAAGAGGTAATTTTTTCTATAGTTATTATCGATAACAATAACTATGAACTGCAGGAACCTGACCGCTCAGAAGGAGAATATATAACTGCTACAAACAAAAGAAAAAAAGATAAAAAGAAAGTATCTACACAAAAACAAGAAGAAACCAGAACTGCTCCTTACAAGAAAAAAACTCGTAATAAGAGCCAAAGTGTGCAGATCTAAAATTTTACCTCAAATCAACTCTTATGCTTAAAAACTCAAAGATAAAAATTAAAACTCTAAACGTTAAAGGACTGAACAATCAACAGAAACAAAGAAATACTTTTACTCTTCTTAAGTCTTATAATTTAGATATTATAATGCTTTAAGAGACAAATCTTAATAACAAAAATACACAAACCTTCTTATAACAACAATAGACTTGTGACTCAATATAGTCAAACAAGATAGCTATATTAGCAGATAACAAGAATATAACTTTTCAAAGCTCCAAAGTAGAAGCAAACAGCAGAGTTATGATTACAAATTTCAGCTACAAAGATTTATCTTTTTAGCTTACAAATATCTACGCACCTCCTAGTCAAAGTGAACGATCTATTTTTTTCAACAACTAGTCTCCTTAAGTAAAAGATAATATGATAAATATTATTGCAGGAGACTTTAATACTAATTTATACCCTGAACGTGATAGAATCAGTGAGTCTTTAGCACAGCATGATCCAACTAGAGCTCAACTTAAAGACCTTACAAAAAACTTTAT